AATAGACTAGAGTTCACACAAAAGCAAGACAACACCAGTATAACTGGCAGAATAGTTGTTAGCAGCCTGGAATAAAAGGCAGGAGGTAAGGATGGAGCACTCTAAAAAAGTGATCCAACATATGCTCCCAATGCTGCCTGATGATGGGAAGCATACACACAGAGGCCACAGAAGTCTCACAATAGCAAAATTTTGAGTGTGAAGTTATTTCAGAAATAGCAGCAAATTTATTTTTCTGATATTTGCATTTTTATATATGTATGATTGTGATATATCATATCTTTTTTAAATTTGTTGCATAAATCTAGTAGAACTCTTTATAAAGTATAGAATAAAATCTTAGGGTTAAAAAACTTAATTAGTAGAAATTTTTCTTACTTTTTTTTCATTTAGGACTTTCTTTATTTTTTTAATATATTTTATTGATATTTTTTTTGCCCGTCTCCCTCCCTCCTACACATCCCCTCCCTCCCCAGAGTTTTATGTCCATTGGTTGTACTTATATGCATGTATAAAAGTCCTTCGGTTGATCTATTATCTCCCCCAGATCTTCCTCCCTTCCCCACTGTAATTTGACAGTCTGCTTGTTGATATACTGTCTCTATATCTATCTTTTGGTTCATCAGTTTATAATGTTCTTTATTATCCACAAATGAGTAAGGTCATGTGGTGTTTTTCTTTCATTGATTGGCTTATTTCACTCAGCATGATGTTCTCCAGTTCCATCCAGGTTGCTGCAAATGATGAGAATTCCTTCTGTTTATGGCAACATAGTATTCCATTGTGTAGATGTACCATGGTTTTTGGATCCAATCATCTGCTGACGGGCACCTAGGCTGTTTCCAAATTCTGGCTATTGTAGATTGTGCTGCTATGAACATAGGGGTGCCTATATCCTTTCTGATTGGTGTTTCTAGTTTCTTGGGATATATTCCAAGGAGTGGGATTACTGGGTCAAATGGGAGTTCCATTTTCAGTTTTTTGAGGAAACTCCACACTGTTCTGCACAGTGGTTGCACCAGTCTGCATTCCCACCAGCAGTGCACGAGGGTTCCTTTTTCTCCGCAACCTCGCCAACACTTGTCCTCTGTTGATTTGTTGATGTTGGCCATTCTGACAGGTGTGAGATGGTACCGCATTGTTGTTTTCATTTGCATCTCAGAAAATTAGTGATTTTGAGCATGTTTTCATGTGCCTTTTGGCCTTCCTTCTGTCTTCTTTTGAAAATGTTCTATTTAGGTCCATTGCCCATTTTTTAATTGGATCATTCATCTTCCTTTTATTTAGTTGTATAAGCTGTTTGTAGATGTTGGAGATTAAACCTTTATCAGTGGTATCATTTGCAAATATGTTACCCACACAGTGGGCTTTCTTGTTGTTTTGTTGATGGTTTCTTTTGCTGTAAAAAAGCTTTTTATTTTGATGTAGTCCCATTTGTTTATTTTCTCTTTAGCTTCCATTGCCCTAGAGGCAATATCAGTGAAGAAGTTCTTTTGGCATACGTCTGAGATTTTGCTGCCTGTGGATGCTTCTAGTATTTTTATGGTTTCCCGTCTGATGTTTAAGTCCTGTATCCATTTTGAGTTTATTTTTGTGAATGGTGTAAGTTGGTGATCTAGTTTCATTCTTTTGCATGTGTCTGTCCAATTTTCCCAACACCATTTATTGAAGAAACTGTCTTGACTCCATTGTATATTCGTGCCTCCTTTGTCAAATATTAATTGAGCATAGTGATTTGGGTTCTCGATTCGATTCCATTGATCTATATGTCTGTTCTTGTGCCAGTACCAGGCTGTTTTGAGAACAGTGGATTTGTGATATAGTTTGAAGTCTGGTATTGAGATCCCTCCTATTTTACTCTTCTTTCTCAGGATTGCTGTGGCTATTCGGGGTCTTTTATTGTTCCAAATGAACTTTTGGAGAGTTCTTTCTAGGTCGGTCAAATATGTTGTTGGGCCAGGACCGGTTTGGCTCAATGGATAGAGCATTGGCTTGGGGACTAAAGGGTCCCGGGTTCGATTCCGGTCAAAGGCATGTTCCTTGGTTGCGAGCATATCCCCAGTAGGGGGTGTGCAAGAGGCAGCTGATCGATGACTCTCTCTCATCGATGTTTCTAACTCTGTATCTCTCTCCCTTCCTCTCTGTAAAAAATCAATAAAAAATATATATTTTTAAAAATATGTCGTTGGTATTTTAATGGGGAGTGCATTGAACCTATAGATTGCTTTAGGAAGTATGGACAGTTTGATGATGTTGATTTTACCAATCCATGAACATGGTATGTTCTTCCATCTCCTTACATCTTCCTCTATCTCTTTTTTCAGTGTCGTGTAGTTTTCCGCATATAGGTCCTTTACTTCCTTAGTTAAATTTACTCCTAGGTATCTTAATTTTTTTGGTGCGATGGTAAATGGAATTGCTTTTTCAGTCTCTGTTTCTGTAGTTTCACTGTTGGTGTATAGAAATGCCATGGATTTCTTAGCATTATTTTTGTATCCTGCTACATTGCCAAACTCATTTATTAAGTCAATTAGTTTTTTAATGGAGTCTTTTGGGTTTTTTACATACAATATCATGTCGTCTGCAAATAAGGAGAGCTTTACTTCTTTTCCAATTTGGATGCCTTTTATTTCCTCCTCTTGTCTAATTGCAATGGCTAGTACTTCCAGTACTATGTCAAACAGGAGTGGCGAGAGTGAGCATCCCTGTCTTATTCCTGTTCTTAGAGGGAATGATTTTAGTTTTTGCCCATTGAGTGTAACGTTGGCTGTGGGTTTATCATATATAGCTTTTATTGTGTTGAGGTATGATCCTTGTACTCCCACCTTGTTGAGAGTTTTTATCAGGAAAGGGTGTTGGATTTTATCGAATGCTTTTTCTGCATCAATTGATATAACTATATGATTTTTATCTTTCAATTTGTTTATGTGATGTATCATGTTTATTGATTTGCGGATATTGTACCATCCTTGCATTCCTGGAATAAATCCTACTTGGTTGTAGTGTATGATCTTTGTGATGTTCTTCTGGAGTCGATTTGCTAGAATTTTGTTGAGGATTTTGGCATCTATGTTCATGAGGGATATTAGCCTGTAATTCTCTTTCATTGAGTTGTCTTTATCTGGTTTTGGTATTAGAGTGATGCTGGCTTCATAGAAGGAGTTTGGAAGTGTTCCTTACTCTTGGATTTTTTGGAATAGTCTGAGGAGGATAGTTTTTTGTTCTTCCTTGAATGTTTGGTAAAACTCTCCTGTGAAGCCATCTGGCCCTGGGCTTTTGTTTGCTGGAAGCTTTTTGATGACTGTTTCAATTTCTTCCCAAGTCACTGGTCTATTTAGATTTTTAGATTCTTCCTGATTGAGTTTTGCAAGGTTGTATTTTTCTAGGAATATGTCCATTTCCTCCAGGTTGTTCAGTTTGTTGGAGGAGAGTTGTTCATAGTATTTTGTAACAATCCGTTGTATTTCAGTGGGATCTGTTGTTATTTCACCTCTTTCATTTCAGATTTTGTTTATTTGGGTCTTCTGTCTTTGTTTCTTGATTAGCCTGGCTAGATGTCCATCTATTTTGTTTACCCTTTCAAAGAACCAGCTCTTGGTTTTGTTGATCTTATGTATTGTTTCTTTGGTCTCTATGTCATTTATCTGTGCTCTGATTTTTGTTATTTCCTTCTTTCTGCTTACAGTGGGCTTTTCTTGTTGCTTTTTTTCTAACTCTTTGAGTTGTAGAGTTAGATCATTTGTTACCCTTTTTTCTAGTTTTTTGCAATAGGCTTGTAGGGATATGAACTTCCCACTCAAAACTGCTTTTGCTGTGTCCCATAGATTTTGGATAGTTGTGTTTTCATTGTCATTTGTTTCCAGGATGTTTTTAATTTCTTCCTTGATTTCTCTGGTAACCCAGTCCTTGTTTAATAGCATGCTGTTTAGTCTCCATGTGTTTGATTTCTTTGGATTATTTTTATTGTAGTTAATTTCCAGTTTTATGCCATTATGGTCTGAGAAGATCCTTGATATGATTTCTATCTTCTTGAATTTGAAGAGACTTTGCCTATGTCCCAAATGTGGTCTATCTTTGAGAATGTCCCATGTGCATTTGAGAAGAATGTATATTCTGTGGCTTTGGGGTGGAATGTTCTGAAGATGTCGATTAATTCCATCTGGTCTAGCGAGTCATTTAGGATTGATATTTCTTTGCTGATTTTTTGTTTAGATGACTTGTCAAAGGGTGACAGTGGGATATTAAAATCTCCTACTATGATTGTATGGCTATTAAGCTCTCCCTTAATGTCCTGCAGTAGTTTTTTTATGTATTTGGGTGTGCCTGTATTGGGTGCATATATATTTACCAGGGTTATTTCTTCTTGTTGAATTGTTCCCTTTAGTATTATGAAGTGGCCTTCATTATCTCTTGTTATGTCCTTCACTCTGAGATCTAATTTGTCAGATATAAGTATTGGTACCCCAGCTTTTTTTTCATTTCCATTTGCCTGGAAAACCTTTTTCCATCCCTTCACCCTCAGTCTGTGTGCATCTCTTTTTCTGAGGAGGGTTTCTTGTAGACAACAGATATATGGGTCTTGTTTTCTTATACAATCTGTTACCCTATGTCTTTTGATTGGAGCATTTAAACCATTTACATTTAATGTTATTAATGATAGGTACTCATTTGACGCCATTTTTATTCTATACCCCTGTGTTCCTTCTTCGCTTCCTATTTCTTTATTTTTACAGTAGACCCTTTAGCATTTCTTGCATTGCTGGTTTGGTGGAGATAAATTCCCTTAGTCTTTTTTTTGTCTGTGAAGCTCCTGATTTCCCCTTCAATTTTGATTGATAGCTTTGCTGGGTACAGTATTCTTGGATTCAGACCCTTTCTTTGCATGACTTTGTATATTTCATCCCATTCCCTTCTGGCCTGATAAGTTTCTGTGGAGAAATCAGTTGTTAGTCTGATGGGGGTTCCTTTATATGTAACTTTCTGTCTCTCTCTCTGGCTGCTTATAAGATTCTTATTTTGTCATTGGTGTTTGCCAATTTAATTATAATATGTCTTGGCGTCGATCTTCTGGGATCCATTTTGCTTGGGACTCTGCGAGCATCTTGGATTTGTGTGGGTTTTTTCTTCTCTATCTCAGGAAAGTTTTCTGTCATTATTTCTTGAAATACGTTTTCCATGTCTACCTCAGTTTTCTTTCCTTCTGGAACCCCTATTATTCGAATATTGTTTTGTTTTGCATTGTCCCAAATCTCCCGTAGGCTCTCCTCCTGCTTTTTAATTTTTTTTTCTAGAAGCTGCTCTAATTGGGTATTTTTTTCCATCTTGTCTTCTAGCTCACTGATGTGATCCTCTGCTTTTTCTAGTCTGCTCTAGATGCTTTCTATTGACTTCTTCATAGTAGCGATGTCATTTTTCATTTCATCTTGAGTCATCTTCATTTCTTCTTGGTTTTTTTTCATTTCCTCTTGGGTCTTACTCATATTGTCAAATTTGTCTTCCATTCTTTTTAGCCATCTTAAGATCGTTACTCTGAATTCTTGCTCTGGTAGGTTGCTTATAACTCGTTTACTTCCTTTTCTGGTGATGCCTGCTTTTCTTTCATTTGTGGGCTGTTTCTTTGTCTCCCCATGGTCTCTCTTCAGGATGTCTCTCTCCTGTGTTGCTTTATCTCTCCATGGGTGATTGAAGAACTCCCTTGAATCCACGCGTTTTTGCCGATTGGAGCATCTCAGCTGCTCGATGGTCTCCTCTGCGGTGGTTTTTCCAGGCCTTAGAGAAGCTCCTCCTTTCCTGGTAAGATGGCGCAGCCTTCCCTCCAGGAGAGCTCACCATGGCCGCCGCAGTGCTGGCCACCCGGCCAGGAAATCCTGTCCAGCGGACCCTTCCCTACCTTCCTTGAGAGCTCCGCTGCCCCTTAGCTGCCAATCAACATTCCCTGAGCAACTCAGACGCTGCCTTTATCTGTTCTGGGACCTGGGTCAGAACACATCTGTCTGTTCGGTCGCCATCTTGTCTCCCCCGAATTTTTCTTTCTTAATTACACTATCAATGTCATCTTAAATTTCATAAAATATAACAAGTGCTTACAAAATAGGGAGGTTTGGGGGCAAATGTTAGGGAAACCACAATTAGCTTTCAGATGGCAGAAGGCTTAAGGAAATCTCAGAAGATCTCAGCTGCAGGCGACATCAAAGCAAGTAATTTGCAAAAGAATGCCCAGAACTTATAGTAAACCTGGGACTGTCGTGTGACTGTCATTTGCCTTTCACTAGCCTGCCTTGTAGAGTATAATGCCTTATCCCATTTACATTTGCTATCTCAAGTAAGTGGTTCTCACTAGCAGAACCTGATCTCTGCAGCAGTATCTCTCCCAATTGAAAAGAAATGCCACATGTGATTGTCAGATCAGCCCATTCTGTGCCTCTGCCACTCCATCAGACTCCCTGTGCTTTTTTCTTTACTTCTCTAGTTGTAGGACTTCCATTCAGCCAGCTTTCAGGCAGTTCTGAATGATGGTTTTTCTGTATTTTAGTTGTAATTTTGATGTGGCTGTGAGAGGCAGCAAGTACAGTTGTTTACTTATGCCACCATCTTGGTTCTTTGGGATATCTATATATAAAAGGATAAGTGACCAGCTGACCAGCCAGTATATATGATGCACACTGACCACAAGGGAGTTAATGATCAACACAGGAGCTGCCCTGCAATAGCAACTTTACAGAGTGTCCTCTCACACACACTCTGGGACCCTCAGGAGATGTCAGACTGCCAGTTTTGGCCCAATCCCCACAGGCCAGGTCAAGGAGTCCCACCTGCTGGAGGGACTCCACTCAATCCCCAGATGCCCTTTGAGCCCTGGCACCACTCATGTGTGGCTGGCTGGGGAAGGGCTGCAGGAGGTTGGCTGCAGGATGTCTAGCCCATCTGGCCCAGTCCTGCCCCGCCAGCCACCTTCTAATTAATTTTGTTTCAATGTGCATGAATCCATGGACTAGGCCTCTAGTTCTTAAATAAGTAAACAAGCAAATACAAGAGATGTTGCAACTGAGAAAAGATTTGGTTGCTATCTTAAAAAGGGTGAGAAATCTATCATCAAAGTAAAAGAGAAAATGTATCCATAATAACCCCCATTTTAAAGCTTAAATACTATAAGAATGTTGAAAGTTGAATAAGCACAAGCTAAAACATTATTTCTCTGCCTAGCCGGCATAGTTCAGTGGTTGAGCATAGACCTATGGAGTCAGGAGGTCACAGTTGAATTTCCAGTCAGAGCACAAGTCCAGTGTGGGGTGTGCAGGAGGCAACCAATCAATTATTCTCTCTCATTATTGATATTATTGATATTCTATTTTTCTTTCCTCGCCCTTCTTTTCTCTGAAATCAGTAAAAAAAAAAAAAAAAAAAAAATTTAAGAAAATCAGAGAAAAACAAACATTTCTCAAAATGAGTTCCACCAAGCTGGTCTGTGAACTACTAATCTGTCTTGACAAGAGAAGGATCTTGCACCAGAGTGTATATCAGCCACTTCACTAACTATGCTTCTTAGTTCAGTCATCATGATTTTTACATAAGGACTTTCTGAATGAAGGAAGTAGTGCTTTAATTTACATTTTGATATGAGATTCTTAATTCATTGAGCATCAGTAACAAACAATTCTCAGATCAGCATTTTGAAAAGAGATAGCTATTAATTTAAAGGAGGAAGGGAGAAGAAGTCAGTGAAAAGAAATAGAAAAAAATAATAATAATAAGTTCAGATATTTAAACTGGTTCAAATATAGTAATAATTAACATAAATAAATGTGAACTAAACTTTTAAAGATTAAGAGTCACAGTTTAGATTTTATAAAGTCTAAAATATGCCATTTTAAAAGATATACCTAAAATACTTTTTTAAAAAAACTTAAAAGTAAAAAAACAATTAAATATGAAGTAAATACAAGCAAAAGAAAGTTGTTGTAGCTATCAATATACTAAAATATTGTTGTTGTAGCTATCAATATACCATCAAATAAATGTTAAAAAAAGTTGTTGTAGCTATCAATATACCATCAAATAAATGTTAAAGTAAAATGTATTATTAAGGACAGAAAATTTGATTCAGTGCTTAATTCAATTCTCCAGGAAAAATGAAATAATTTTAAACAGTAACTAATAAAAATGTCTTGAAGTATGTAAAGTAGTCTATGTCCATACCACCCTGAATGCGCCCAATCTCGTCTGATCTCGGAAGCTAAGCAGGGTTGGGCCTAGTTAGTACTTAGAGGAAAGTATGTAAAGTAAATGTTTGAGAACTGTAGGAGCAGAGTGATATATCTACCATCATACCACTCTCAAGTATTGAGAAGTCAAATAGATGAAAAAAAATCAACAAATATATACAAGATCTGAATGACACAACATATATTGAACACATATTGAATAAACATATATTAATTATGCATCTGACAATTATAATAAAAATATTGTTCTCATATATATATGATTATTTATAAACATTTATAAAAATTAGGCCATAAAGAAAACCTCAACAATTTTATAAAAAGAAGTTTGAAATTAAGTTAGACATTAATTCAAATATACATTTTTAATTCCCACTTATTTGAATTTTTTTTAAACCTGAAAATAACTTATTGGGTAAAATGAGTCATAATAGAAATTCTTAAATATCTAAAGTGTTTTTAAATTTATTTAGCTATATATAACATTGTAGTAATGTAGCAAAAGCAGTGATCTGAGGGAAATTGATAGCCTTACACATAAATATTAAGGAAAATATGAAAGTGTAAAAATTAATTGATTAATTGCCCATCTTAAGATGTCAAAAAAAAGAACAATGGGGTAAAACTAAAGAAAATACAAGACAAAGTATAAAATAAAACAAAGACAAATTAGATAAGACTAACAAAACCAAAAAAATTGCTATTTGGAAAAATTAACAATGTAAATAAACTTTGGCAAGGTAATTACAAAGAAGAAACAAATGGTTTTATAAATAAAGAGGCAATTACTACAAAAAAAGAAAGGGTTAAATTGATTTTAAAAGACTTCTATTTTCAAACAAGATGAGAATAAGGGACCAAATGATTCACCTGGAGAGTAGCTTTTACATATTGATCATTAGAAGAGAATAGAGAGTGAGTGGTGCCTGAGAGAGAGAAATTTGAGGGGAGCCCCATAATAATCCCTGCTTACTGCCTGGAGAGAGTTTTCATGCTACAGTTCATTAAACATTTATAGCATTTAACACATTGCTAGTGGAAATGTAAATTAATGCAATTACTTTGTTAAAGAATTTGGCATTATCTTCTATAGTTGAAGATTTATAAAGCCTGTAGACTCGTAATTCTACTCCTGGGTATATATCAAAACAAACTCTGGCACATGTACCACAAGATACATGTAAAAAATTGTTCACACCAGCATTATTTACAATAGCAAAAACCTAGAAATATCACAAACAAACATTCACAGTTGACTGGACTAACAAACCATAGTATATATTCATCCCATGGATTTTTTTTTTTTTAACTAGATACATTTTCTTTTCTTTTCTTTTCTTTTCTTCTTATATTTCTTTATTGGTATCACCTATGTGTCCTTACCCCACCATTACCTCCCACCCACCCATTCCTGCCCTCCCCCCCTGGTGTCCATAGATTTTTTTAAAAGTATGTTTTCATTGATTTTAGAAAAAGAAAACAAGTGAAAGAAAGAGAGACAGAGAGAGAGAGAGAGACATTGATATGAAAAAAAATCCATCATTTGCCTCCTGCACGCTCCCTACTGGGGACTGAGCCGACAACCTGGGCATGTGCCCTGATGGGGAATCAAACCAGTGACCTCTTGGTATATGGGCCAATGTTCATCCAACTGAGCCACACCAACTAGGGCACACACAATATTATTCTAAAGCTTATAGTATATGGAAAGGCAAGGAAACTGGACTAGCTAAAACATGCAATTCACCAGTTGTACTCCTGAGCATTTATCTCAGAGAAATGAAGATATATGTTCATCAAAAATAAAACTGAACATGAATCTTTATAGCAGGTTTATCTGTAATAGTTCTAAACTGAAAACAGTCAAGATGTCATTCAATGGGTGAATAGTTAAACAAACTTAAATGATTCTTCTCCTATTTTAGCAGAATCCTTTTCTGCTATTTTGGTGGTGATTTCTACTGTTTGAACATAGTGTGAGGAATTATATCAAATGTTACTGGCCAAATCATTGTGCATTGCCTTTTGACTTAGTGCCTTCCACAAATATGCAAATCTCAAACCCCAGGTTCAGCACTAGCCAAAAACATGCCTATATG